AAAATTATTGTTTATTAATTTGTAAATACTTCCATTAATCCCTATTCTTTTTTCTTTTCATTTTTAAATCCTAATTTCCTACTTATAATTTCTAATTCTTTCCTTTTTCTTATTTCATTTACTATTTATTTCTAATATTACATTATAATTTTATTATTATTTCCTATTATTTCACTATTTCTTCATTTTATTCCTAACTTTTCATTATATTTTTTCACTAACATTTTCTAATTATAAATTCTAATTTCTATTAATTTTTCTATTTCTAACTTTATTTTATTTATATTTTCCATTTCATTTCAATGTTTTCTTTTTCAATCTCTATCTCTAAGTTTATTATGTATTCCATAACGTATGTTATTACATGTTCCTATGATATCATTATTTTCTATTTTTAAAAATTCTTTTAATTTTACTAATCATTACTTCATCTCCTTCTGTTCCTAATTCTCATAATAATTTCCTTTTTTTTTCACATTCAATTATATTCCTATTTTCTCTTTATTATTTTCACTAATTTCTTTTTTTAGTAATATAGATTATACAAGTATTTTATAATCTCAGTTTATTAGTTTCTTTAATCACAAAAATGCCCAAAAAAATCAAAAATCTAACAACCACAGTCGCTCTGCATCATCAGTCAAAGATAAACTACCATCACTAAAAAGACAGAACACTAATCAAACTACTGAACAAGAAGCTATCGCTAAAAGTTCTAATATTGCGCTCTCATTGTCACTATAGAAGTTGACCAAACATCTGACACTTTACCTCTGCCCCTTGATAAAGGCAAAAATAAAGCAACTGTAACAGTCACTGAAACTACAACTAACAACAAAAAAGATGAAATGAATGTCAACGGTCCCTCTGACGTGTCTAAAAATACTATTGACACTACTTTAGTAGCGTTTGCTGCTTTACTTCTGTGCTAAAATATTTTTTGCATACTTTTCACTTGAAAAATACCCTAGAGCTAACCCCCAATGGAAGATCGCTGAAATCACTGACAAATATTATTTCAACTACACTTCTTTTGCTGGAGTCACATGTGGAAAACTTCCTGCTAATTCATCAATCAACATTCTCAAGGTTGCCTTTTTAGACTTTAACGAACCTGATAATCTTTGTAAAATGCAGATTTCCAATATAGACAAAATCACATTTTTACCATAGTTATACAAAAATTGCACCCTTTCATATCTGCACGGTCGATTACAGTAACTGAGATCCCATTAGATTTTACGATTATATGAATTAAAAATTTCTTCTCCCATTATGGTAACATTGTACGTTGCACTATATAAACTAGAAATTTATGGCAATGCGCTATTATTACCTTCGATAATGATGCCAAATTTGACATTCTTCAAGCGACTGATAGATTACTGATTATTAACGATTCTGTTCGTATTTATATATGTGATCTGAATAGAAAAGATATTCAAGATCGTTTCAAATTCTCAAAGAAATTAACTAATTTCTCTCGAGGTACTACAGCACGTGACCTTTATGATATCAGTAAGATGGTAAACGCTACAGCTTAGATTGTCTCACAAGCAAGATCAAACTATAATTATTTGCAACATGCGTACTTTTACTTTCGTAATGCAGACGAAGCTGATGCTGCAATTATAACTGATAAACTTATACTTAACAGTAAAAAACTTGAATGGACTGATGTGAAAACCAAACTATGTACCATTTGCTCTTCATCACACTATAACGTTTCCTCATGTCCTAAACATCGTCAGTCTCCTAAAAACTGTAGTATACAAAGCCTTTACCATAGATTTTAACTAGCTCAATTCAACAACTAAATTGCTTCTAAACGTAATCCTGTAAGAGATGCTATTCGTAAAAATATTACTTTCGCTCACATGACTAAGACTCCACAACAAATTAACAATTCTCAAGAAGGTCCTAAAAGAAGATCTCCTTCACCTCTACCACTTAAACCTAAAGATAGTACTTCTTCTAATAAATCTTCTAAGGCTAAACCGAAATTGCAATAGGCAGATAATCCCATAGATGAGTTCATGAAAACTGAAGTTCTTCCTACCCTGAATTTAGCTAATGGTACTGCAAAAAGTGGTTCAATCTATGACCCAGATTTTAAACAATTTGTTACCTCTCAGCTTACTTCAATTTCCAACGCTCTATCTGATCTTTGTGTTAAATTCAAATTTTTACAACAACATCTTGTCGTTGTTGAAAAGCCTTTCATATCCAAGTCGTCATTCCTACTGAAGCAGATGATTTTAACAATAACTTACCTGATTCTTCTATAAAAGTAGACAAAAAATACCCATACATTAACACTGATCTTTGCACTGCCCATTTACAAAATCAAACAAATGAACAACTAGTCCTCATTTGTCAAAAACAATAATAATAACATATTTTAAAATTTATTCTCATACTCAACAAGTTACTTAAATCCTGTCATGATCTTCAAACTACGCTCCTTAACAAAAACATTCTTAACAACATGACACACAAATTTTTAAACCATTAACTGAAAACTTTGATAAAGCAATTGAATGCTGTATCGATAGCGTCCAAAATTAATTATTATTATTATCATAAATACTATCCCTACAATGAATAATACTAATGATCACAGTTCTCATTCTCCCCTCTTTCTAATCTTAGAATTGCTACTCACAATATCCGTTCTTTAAGTAACCCTACTAAACAAAATTATCTTTTCTTCTTATATTCAGTTAATCAATTTGACATCATAGGCCTACAAGAAACAAATTTTAAGGGAATCTTATCCATTTTTAATCGTAATTTCTCTAATTATACTACCTTTTTTAGCAATAGCCAAATCTCCCGTTCAATTGGAACCGGTGTTAGCCTTTCATTTAGCTCTTACATTGCTAAACACATTTTTGCTTATGACTCTGAATTAGATAAAATTATTTATGTAAAACTTCAATTTGCGAACAAATAAAAACTAATAATCATCAATTATTATATTCTACTTGTCAACCCTCAACTAATATCACAAAATAATCTGTTATCTTTTTAAAACGATTACTAGATGATGCTATCAAAAATGAATTACATATCATTCTTATAGGAGATCTAAATGCTGACATAGATCGTGTCAACAACTCCTCTTTCAATTTGAATTTTATTAAGTCTCTCAATAATTATGATTTATATGATGCGTTTAATGTCCAATTTAAAAATGACAGAACATCATATCCATCTTGCTTCAATAAAACATCTTCATCCAAGATCGACTATATCTATATGATATCTGAACTAACGTTTAATATATTTGACTGTAAAACTATTCAAACAGATTTCTTTATTACTGACTACTATATTGTTTCAACCAAAATAATCAACTCCCTAAAACACTCTATATCTACTAGAAAAAGTCCAATCAAGTCTTCCTTCAATTACAACTTAATGGATAAATCCAAATGGTCAAATTTAGAGATAATTTGGAAAACAACTTGAATTCCAATTCTTTGAAACATATTTCATCTAAAACTGTCTGGTCCCAAAGTCTTCTCAATTCCTCCTGAGACCTTTTCAAGACACTCTCATTTCAGTGGCAAAAAAATGTATCACTATTCACAAGGCAAAAAATTATCACTTCTTAAAGAAATCTGTCGCCTTTTCAAAGATCTATAATGACATATAACTTTATTATTTTGAGAAAATAACAAAAAAATGTCTGAATACGTTCACTATTCATAGAAAATGGAATAACTTATACTCGCAATTTTTACAGCTTACTCACTCCAATAGATTAAATACAGTTCCTCTTATGTATCTTCCTCTCCTAACTATGCTTAATTCTGTTTTTTCAGATATTAAACTCCTTTTTGCTAGTTTTAAAATAAAAGCAAAACTTCGTGAATATGATTTCAAGCTCAAGAGTATACAGGAAGCATTAGATACTTGTGTAAATGATTATAAACACAATTCATCCGGTATGATTAACTCAGTCCTTAATCAAAAAAAATAACTATTATATTAGATAGATGCATCAATAATTCATCTTCATCTTGTAATTTACTTTTTGAAGAACCTGATATTAAAAAAGAGGTTGCAAGATATTTCTAAAAAGTCGCAAGCACTACGTATTGTTCAAAAGAGATCCCAGAGGAATGGATTTCTACATATACTCCAATAAATTCGATTGACTTACGTATTTATAATAATTTAATGTCCTTACCTTCTGCGGATGAATGGTATAGGATTATTGATCGGCTTCCTAACAATAAAGCCCTAAGACCATTGAAAATATCAAATGAAATGTTAAAACATCTAGGACCACTCGTGAAGAAATATTTGTGGTATATTATCTGTGGCTGTCTTCAAATTTCATCAATACCTTATTGTTGGAATTTGGCATATATTTACCCAATTCCTAAACTGAAACCTTAGGAATATGACTTAAATAACACTCGTCCTATCACCTTATTAGAAAATGCTAAAAAGGCTTTTGTTCATCTGCTCAATTCAAGACTTGCTAATATCTTCGTATAACATAATATTCTAAAAGGTTACAATTTTGCAGACTTACCTTTCAAATCTACCTTTGATCCCATTCATATTTTTGACAACATCAAATAGAATGCTATTTATAATAACACAGAATTATAGGTCCTTTTATAAGATATGTTTAAAGCATACGATCATGTGAATGTTTTTACTCTTGCCACAATACTTGCAAGATTATGCCTTCCTGCTAAATTTACTTACACAATTTTGAGACTATTTCTTTTCAGATTCAACCAAATTTTCACCACTTATGGAAATTCTGATACATACTTAGTACATTCAGGAATAGATCAAGGTGAAGTTATATCACTTTTGTAATGTATATACTATGATCTGCTTTTATGCACCATTAATAATTCTTCACATAGTTTCATTATGGAAGTCAAATGGCATCCTGATGCCCATCTTCCTGCTTCTAATACTTCTCGTTTAAAAATTTCAGTCCTCGCCTATATAGATGATACCTTCTAGCTCACTAAATTTAGAGAAGACCTTACAAACATAACATCCATCACAAATAGTTTCTTCACTCTTAATAACATACAAGTTAATTAGTCAAAGTCAGAACTCTTGGTCAACACTTCCCAACAGCATCCTTTAGAAATCAGTCATAATAACATTGTGTGATTTATCAATGCTCTTTCTCCAAAAGCTAGTATTAGATACTTAGATATTTGGATCTCGCTTAAGTTTAACAAGACCTTCATTTACAATCAGATACATAATGAAATCAAGAAGGCTGTTACCATCATGAAGAATAAACACCTTATAGATTCACAGTTGATTTATATTTTTAATACCGTTCTCCTTCTGAGAATTGAATACAGATCTTAAATCTTAACTTATGTTACTATCTGAATTATAATGCAAAAGTTTTGTCACTACTTACTTAGCTTTTATAAAAAGAAAATTAAAACTTTTCAGACATACTCCAACGGATTTATTCTATTTGTATTATTTTTACAACTTGACTTCACTCTATCAATGACTGATTCAGAATTTCAGCAATGCTCTTTTGCAAATGTCCAATGAAACAAACATTCTTGAAAGATCCTTTTATCTACATATCCTTCAACTTTAACAGAAAGAATGGCTCTTTGACAATCCTCTTTTATATTGGTCATTTTTGAAAACAATACGAGCTGATGATTGGCTCCTATTCTTTCTTTGTGATCTCAAACTAATAAATATTAATCTTAATGTCCCTCCAGTTTTGTTAAATAGAATCTTAGGAGGGATTTTCCAATTTCTGAATTTTTACTTGATAGTTATAGGAAGCATGCTCCTGGATTATGAAAATTCTCACTGCTCTTTATAAAGCAACTTACAAATTACCAAAGAAACTACATGTTCACTTTTTATGATTTGTATACCATCACACATCCAATTACCTGTAGTTTTCAAA